ACCACCACACTACAGTTCACACATGGAAGAAGATTATTTTGTTTATACACCTCGATCATACCTGAGACTTCATTCATTTATACACCTGCGCATCAGCTTTGCATCGCTTTCGCTGCCACTCCTCCGTCTCTCTAATGGGAGAAAGTTTCAGATCTAAGATGCGTTTAACCTGTCTGTACTTAGAAAAAGGTGTGTACTAATATGTCAGGTAACCGGGATTAGTCTTGTCAATTCATAATCTAACTCTGAGGATTTTATTTAAATAGAAGGAGTTACAATTATATCCATTCTGTAGATTACGGTGACCAGAACTGAACCGCCGTAATGTTAAGATGGTCACAGCTAGGGATGTGTTTGTGTAGGGGGGGGGGTGTGGTGAGAGGAGCTTATATAGTAGTAGGTAGCGTGTGGTGTGATTGTGCGTGAGATGCATCGAAGTGGTCGTTATGGTGGCAAAACACTACGCCAATCCCTGATAGCCACACACACCACAACCCTCGTACGGTACACCCTGCGTAACAACCCCTCGACTACATCTACCACCCTGACTGAATGACCTGGTAGATTGTTTGGTTGGCTGAGTGGTTTGTTGGCCGACTGGCTGGTTAATTGGTTGACTGACTGACTGGTTTGTTGGGTGTCTGGTTGCTGTTTAGAAGACTTTCAATCTCCGGGGCGAAATTACTTACATTATGCCATGAGAAACGGCACCATATAGAGTAGCGTTAAGTGGCTGTGAGGAGTTTGTTAGTTCAGGTGAGGTGAGACACCCTACCAGGTGAGGAAGGTCCCACTTAGACAACTGCATCAATCACGACTTGACAGGAGGAGGAGGAGGCGGCTGGCTGGCTGGCTATCTTCGCTGTTTTTTGGGGGGGGGGGGGGGGGCGTTATCGTGAGTGTGTGAGAGGGGCATTAGCCGCCGGAGGTGTGGCTGTGGTGGGTGGTGAGACACTTCCTGCTACTGGTCTTGTCGTCGTAGTTCTTGGCCAGCTCTTATGGTTCCACATTTTTTTTCCATCTTAAATTATATATTGGGTTGTCTGTCCGTCTGGCCGTCTGTGTGTCACTAGTTTAGGAATGTCCCTGGCTGAGGCTCACTGGATCTGGTGCACCTGACGCCAGTGTGTGTGCGAGCGTTTGGTTTATGGCGAAGTCGTGGATATGAATGAACCTTCGGATAATAGGACGTAAGTGTGTGTGTGTGTGTGTGTGTGTAATGTGCAGTGTGTGTGTGTGTGTGTGTGTTTTGTAATAGGGCATGCAGTGTGTGTGTGTGTGTGTTGTAATAGGGCAGGCAGTGTGTGTGTGTGTGTGTGTGTGTGTTGTAGGGCAGGCAGTGTGTGTGTGTGTGTGTTGTAATAGGGCAGGCAGTGTGTGTGTGTGTGTGTGTGTGTGTGTTGTAATAGGGCAGGCAGTGTGTGTGTGTGTGTGTGTTGTAATAGGGCAGGCAGTGTGTGTGTGTAATAGGGCAGGCAGTGTGTGTGTGTGTTGTAATAGGGCAGGCAGTGTGTGTTAGCACAACTTCGTAGATGTAATCAATATGAGGAATTTGGTAGTAACGTCACGTCCGTCCACGCCGTCTCCCTGGACCACACACCTACGGCCGCCTTTCACATTCCTCACAGGTGTTGGTCACTCCCCTCTGATGTCTTAATATATCTCTCTTTAACATGTATTGAACACCAAATCTTGACTACAAGTATTACCCCGTTGAAACCTCATTAATCCTGTCTTATTATTATTATAACATGTGGCCACAAGAGGAAGTTTGAATATTATACTCCAATATGCACAAGAGACTAACATCCACAAGAGACGTATTAATCTAGTAACTAGGCCGTGACCTCATTGCCAGGTGGTAAACTATGCGACCTTCACAACAGGTGTTGACTAGATATGTGACATCTTATAGCAGATGATATTAAACCTCCACAGTTGATGTATCATTGAACAAGGTAACAAAAAACAAACAAACTACCTGCACCTGACGACGCTCTTGTAAAAATCGATAAATCTGTCAATCACGTTGGTGTAGAACAGGTAAACAGCATGTCCGAGTTAGAATGCCGCACCACACAGGTATAGTACAGTACAGCTGATAACCTTAAGTCAATGGCACCTGACTCGCCTGCTGAAGACCGTCGTGCAGTTGGTTGTGATAGTGATAGGCCAATGACGTAGAGCGAGAGTTGTGCCCCCGTCTATGTCATACCTACCTGTGTTAATGGTGATATTGATTACTACCGGCGTCCCCAGCAGAGGTGTACTAATTTTAGTTGTCAGTATGTGTGTGTGTGTTGTGTCGGGGGTTGTGTCAGGTGTAAAGGGCTGTATTCGAGATGTGCTAGCTACAAGGGGGGGGGGTGTATTTGGGGAGGTATCAGGGATTTGGGTATGTGTTGGGGCCTGCCAGGTGTAGGGTCGGGGATGATTTATCGCATTGACGTGACTACAGGCAGGCAAGGTAAGACACACTTATGTCAACCTTATTACTATTATTATTAAGCTGTATTAAGTTACCCATGTAAACAGGTGAACATACACATACATGTTTAGATGTAATATTGTAATTTTGTTATTTATATTGAAGGTCTCGCTCAATCTTAACGTACCATATCACCGTCTTGGTTGGGATCAGGTCGCCTCTTACTGAGTGGGTGTCACAACCTCATTATCAGGGTGATAGAACGTCATACCGTTGTGACTCGGTTTATCTTATCGTAGATGTGCGTTATCTAGAAAAAACGAAAAAACGAACAATTTGGGAATTATACCGTACCTACCATTACACTGGGCGGCCGGCCATTACTGGGGTAGTGTTTTAGTTGAGGTTATTATGACGGTGTAGTGAGATGATCTCGTGAGTGGGGAGTTATTTCGGATCACCTGAAGATTAATCCTTCAGCAGTTAAAATCTTATTTGGTGGAAGTTTTATTGGTGGTTTGACTGCTTTGGGTTAACGTAGGGAGATGTAGTGAGGAAATGGGTTGTACCTTGTAACGTAGACAAGCGTGTAGGCTTCGGTAGAGGTAAAGAATAATAAGAGTACATTCAGGACAACCACCGCGGTGTTACACACAACCTGAACCGAAACTTACGGTGTAGATCTTTGTTAGTGGTGGGGGGGGCGAGGTCAGTGGACTGAACGTTGATGTGACCCAGCACTGTCTCCCCCGAGGATGGCACACACACCGCACGCTAGCCACTCCTGGTGGACCCCTGGTGTCCCTGTGGTTTGTGTGCAGGGGGCGGATCCAAGAAGTTTGGGGTAGGGGAACAAAACGAGCCAACCCAGCTGGAGTTTTTATAGGGGGGTGCTGTAAGCCCCCATCACAAACCCGCGAATGGCAAGAGTCTACTGTAATATACTTCAAAACCTTCTCTCTTTTTTATAACAGTTACTTCTTGTTAATCTCTAATCTTTTTTTTTTCAATTCTTTGGGGGATTAATTGTACAACTGTCACCTTGAACCACGCTGACATCCTGGAGCACCCACCCACTCAGTCAGCTCCTCCACTCATCATTGTTAACATATCTTTATAATCTTCACCTCTCAGAATCTGTAGCGAACAACTCTGCCTCTGTCTAGTTTTGATTTAGGGGTTCCCATTTTTGCTTGACACTCATGATGTACTGTAAAGAGAAGGGAGAGAAATACAGTAAAGGGACGCCACAGAGTTAAAGAGGCCGTTTAATGGACAGTGTGTTTATCTCTCATCGACTCACGGAGTTAAAGAGAACATTTCAGTGGGCAGTCTCTATCTCTCGTCCAAAAATATTTATTTTAAATATATTTTCCTTATAAAGCTGAATTATACACAATAAACATTCTGAACATTTCACAATATTATTGTCTTTATCTTATTGTGGTGAAAATGTAGATGGAAATAGCGGAAGTATCCTAACATCAGAACAGTAACAACCTGATATTTACAGCAGGCTGCTGACTGTACTTATAATATACAGTATTTTACTTGTGTTGGCTTCACCGGTGGCAGCACACAACAGTGGTGAGTGGTCACTAGTCACCAATAAGATTCATAGAAAATGGTAGGGTAATGTTGCTGTAATAACACTAATGCGACTGTTGCACCCAAAGGGTTAAAATATGTGATGGTTGTTCAAGCAGCTGTGGTGATTGTGTTGCCTAATTAATATTAGAAGTAAAACAAAGGCTAAACAATGAAACGTGATAGTTATCAGTTTGACAATGGCTAACACAATAAGAACTAGTAATCAGATACTCGCACAAACTATGGGTCAAGTTCTTAATAGAATGTGGTCATTATTGTGGAAAACTGTGAATTGGACTACCATGGACGAAAATCCCATCGGCTCAACATAAATTTGGTGATCTAAACGATCCACCACAATGCTCAAGTTTATGCCTGGGTTAGTAAGTTTATTTTTGTTTCGTTTGTTTCTGAATTAACGTACTAACGTTAAAATGAACTGTATTTTCCTGCTGATAAACCTCCCCCCTCCCCCCACAGGTGGTAATAATGATGAATAATGGTTTCTCATTCTGACTTATTATTTTTATATAATAAACATTCCTTGTATTTAGATATTTTATTTATAGTATTTTGTTTCACTATATAGTTTAGATGTACAGTCACTCAAAAAAAATCTATAAAATTGTGTTGAAAAAATTACACAACACACGAAGGATTTTGACAAACCTACCGAGACAAAAGGAGTCGGTGTACATTCTGAAATTCATCATCCCCCCCCCCCCATAGAGATAGTTTCTTGAGTGACTGTACATGCAGGTTTCCTAATATGAATACTGTAGTAGGTCTGCATTAAGTATATTTGAATTTGTCATTAGTGCACTTATGCCATTGTGTGTATGAAACAAAATCATTTACGTAGTAAATTGGCTACAAGGTTTGTGTATTTGTCAATTGTTATTGTAAGTTTTTTGAGATTAAATATTTTGCTCTTTCTTTATTTTTTTCTCCATTATTCTCATATAAGTCTTTTGTGTTGCAGCTCGCGCAAGTCCGGCGGGAGCAGTGGGAGTGGAGAGGTGGGGCGCGGAACCCCCCGCCACAAGAGCACAGGGGGCAGTACACCCCGCCACTCCCGCAAGGGTCGGGAGCCACGAGACCCCGCCACTGTCATCTCGGCGCCTGAGATCGGCCTTGACAACATGATCAGTATGGTGGAGTTCGACCCCGGCCACCGCGAGATGGCCGTTGACGTGCCTGACTCATTCGTGGCGCGCACTAAGACTCCACCAAGGTAATTGTACTTCCCTTGATGCACACTGTACTGTTTATCTTCCCCATAAGGGTATCATCTTTTTCATTGAGACAGTTAAATGCCAACCATGTGCAAAACCAACTACCTTGTACGTCTCTTATATAGCAGAAATTATGGCTACTGTAAGCCAATCCTTATCAGTTCCTCGACCATTGCCCCACCATCCTTAACCATCTCACTCAACATTTTTGTAATTGATGCTATTTTCAAACATATTTTTCCTCTTAATTACCATATTCTTCAAGACTTAGTCATGTTATGAACACACAAGTGTGAGAGACTATACTACCCAGTAATAGTTTTGGGTAATATTTTGCTGCTTTAAGTTTCATAAATGGAGTAGTTTGCATCAGGATTTTTAAATTGGTGTGGATGAGGGACCTGTGGTGAAAAATGACCATGTGCCATCTGTAAGAAAGGTGTACTGTTGGCAGCAACTCGGTAATGTGTGACAAGTGTGGAAGGAAGGTGGGTACACTGGAAGTTTAGCACTTAATAAATGAAGTTGATACTTGTTCCCTTCAAACTTTAAAGATTAGCTGTCTGTATAATCTTATTTTTTTGGCTCCTAATTTCTTTAAGTAAATATTTTAACTAACACATTGTGTTATATTGCAGATACCCACCACCTAAGCCTCAGGGACAGCCCCTCACACCTATCCACAACAATAATAATAATAGCAGCAAGAGTAGCAAGAAGGGTGGTTCATCTGGTAGTGCCACACCACAGAATGGCACACTACCCAAGCCTACACCTCCCCCACGTATCCCAGACCAGCCCCAGAGATCGCCTCAGCTCCCTCCCTCACAGCAAGAGGGACTGATGCAGCAACCATCCACTCAAGAAGAGATAAACAGGATAAAGAAATATGAGGTATATTTACTTCTATAATACCTGTAATTTTATCGAATTGATATTTGGAATATTTGCAATGGCTGCTACCATTAAAAAAATTTTAATCATGGTTTTAAGATTCGGAAAGGGAAGTTGTTTGATTCCTTTAACTTTATTTTGAAAGCATTTTTACTGAGAAAAGGCTGATATCTTAGCTGCATTTCATCAAGGGAAAATCACAGGGAAGGATTTATGAGGTAAAATTTTTATGGTGAAAATGTTACATCATTTTAATTTGTCCACTTCTAAAATGTTGTTACGAGGGTAAGGGGGAAAAATGAGTAATTGAGACTTCTGACTGAAGATTGTCATTAAAAATATATATCTTGAGTGAAACTTTGGTGACATTTGATTATTGAGATCCAGACGGTTTCAAAATAAGAAATATGACTGTACACTTGTACAGATGACCTATTACGTATTTAAAAATACAACTTTGTTGTGAGACTGTTGTTAAAATTCAGTTTTACTGTAGGATATTTAAATATTTTATTTATGGGATCTGTAAGCGATTATTTGTAATGGGCTTCTGTGTTAAAATTTAATAGGGATCTTTCTGTGAAAATATGACTGGATTTTCAATTGAAATAAAACATTCATAGGGACTAAAACTTGATTCTAATATTTTGATTTATACAGGAGGAACTAAAAGTTCGGAGGGAGCGTGAGGAGCAAGAAGCCATGTTAAGGTCTTCATTACGATCATCCCAAAAACTGCAGCAACTCGCTAATAAACCAGTGCCAACTGGAGTTGTGAATGAGGGATTTTCAGTAGAGGAGTTGCAGGCAGGGGTGGAAGCCCAGGCTGGTGCTGAGACTGACACAGACACACCAAGCAAAGTCATAGGTATGGGAATTAAAATAATTTGAATCCATTGTGTATAACTGTCTTCCAGAGTAAAGCATTGAGAAATGCTTTTTTCTTGAGTACAGAACATATAAAAAGTTAAACTTTTTATTGATTTACTGTACAGTATTCTTTTTAGAATTCTTACTGTAAAGATTCCTTATTTAGAACTGTTTTATATTTTTATGTGAACACCATATTGTATTCTGGTTTGTACATCTTCATAAGTACTAAGTACTGTATCTGCATTTAAACTCATTGGCAAAAATATCTGCTTTGGAAATTTAAATAGTGTACACACACACACACACACACACACACACACACACACACACACACACACAGTCTCTGAAAGATAATTTTGTCATCAATGATTGGCTTCTTAAACATCCTGGTCATTGTGTTAAATATAAGTTTCTTTAGTTACAGACTGTGATATACTTCCACTTCCATCAAAGTATACTGCTTTCACCTTACGCTTAAATACCAGTATCAGTTTATTGTAAAATTAAATATTATTATGACACTCGGAATTTCCTGCTTAACTCCTGTGCTAATGGAACACCATTTTTAATATTTTAATATTGTACACAATTTTATTCAGCCTTGTACAGTGCACAAGGTGTTTATTAATAGCCTTTTCATGTTATGTTCAGTGTTGTGGGACTGTTTCTAGGTTGACAAAGTGTTCATTCATATGTCTGATAAACTCATGGTTACCACCTTGTGAAAGTTGGCTAGTAGCAACAGATGGATTTACACTAAAAGTCATGCATACAGTGGACAAGAGAAGCAGTTTAGTTTTGCAGGATCACAAAAAGCACAGTACAGTGGGTGCAACAGCAGTATACAGTACCTCTAAACACAACTGCAGTCATAGATTCGACTATCATGAAATGTCTTGCAAGAACTTTTTGAATTGGCTTATTTGGGATTAATGCTGTACAGTCAGGAGCATTAATTGCTACCCCTCTATCCGCTAGTTGCCAGAGCCACCACCAGTGAAGGCTGATATTGACACAATGCACCATCCCCAGGCACGGTAGTTCCAAAACTACCTTGCAACATTTAGACAGAGGAGAGGAAAGGGAGAAGGGTGTTTTCAATTGCCAGGCCTTCACTTGCCATGGCTCCAGCTACTGGAGGGAGGGGGGGAGGGTAGCAATTACTGCTTCTGACTGTACAGTACTTGTATAATTTTTTTACCATGTTCTTTAGATAGTTTTTTGTTTTTCCACTCGCCAGTCTTTTTGAGAGCTTCTGATCAACAGGCTTCTTGATTTTGTTTTTATTTTAATCATACTTTAGAAACCCTATTTACATTTAATATTGATTATTTTTCAGGCATCAATGAACTAATTCAGTCACTTCAAAGGATTCAGACGGTGCTTAAGTCTAACGGCCACCGGATTAGTGAAGACATGACTCTTGTGGCTCAACTTTTGACCAATCCAGAGTTCCAGAAGGTGCTGGCTGTTCACAATAAGGTGCAAGAAACGTGGTGTTTAAACCGACCCCCCACACCTGTCACAGACAATGCTCAAGAACTTTTAGTAGAGGTAATGATCCAACAGTTTTGTTAGCTAAAAATTGTTTTGTCCTTTGTAGTATACCAGTACTGCTTTATAATTTAAAATACTAGAATTAATAAAGATACATTAGCCCTTCTTTTTAAATATATATTTTTGAGAAGAACGTAATATATCTGATTATACGTAATTTGCTTAAATTTATTAATTCTGTTTCATCTTTCAATTTTAAGGTTTATGAAAGCTTTTCTGTAAATTGACATGTCTCTTTGCTGTTTAATTATGGCTTATCCAGCTTTCTTTGACACTTTTCTGCACTGTGTATACAGTTTAGTCAGTCAGCCATTAACTGGGTATGCCCTAAGAGGAGTAACTTTTTTTTATGAATGACTTTGGATTTTGTCCAAACTTGAAACAAATACAGTACAATATTCAGTGACATAATACAGTATACTGTAGTGTAACATGTTGTTTTGGAGCATTCTGGCCTCATAGTGATTGTTATGGAACCTAATTTGTCTGCTTAGGCCTTAGGGGATCATCACTTCTAGATGTCTTCATTATTTAATGATTGTGAAAATTGTATGGGTACCCGGTAAATGTTTGGCATTTTAACTTGATCATGAATTAGTTACTGTATTCATAAACATAAATTAAAATAATTTTCATGAACTAATCTCACACTTTTAAACAAAGGATTAGTAGAAAAGTAATGAATGCTTCTGTAGTTTGATAACTCCTCTGTGTTTGTTTTTTAGTAGATTCTTTATGATACCCGACTTTGAAGGAAACATTTTTATATTGAGGGTGGAAGATTGAGTACATCAATATATTTGCATTAAATGTTTAACCCCACTGTATGGCATTTCATATTCTCTAGCAAGTGTCTGTTCCATATAATTCAAGTACAGTATACAGTACAAAGTTTTTACTGTACTAGGAGGGAAGGTGAAAGATAGTAATTTGGCTAAATTTAGGCATACTCGAATTTTCACTATTTTGGATCAATCTGTGCTGAAATTAGTTTGGTACATACAAAAATGCATAAGTCAGGCATATGATATGGTTGGGGATTAACAGTTTACTAGGCACCTAGTAATTTGAAATACTACAGTACTTTCATTGTACTAACTTGCTATTTTTATTCTTAGAGTCTTCAAGAGCTACAAGAATACACAGTACCTGAGGCAGCTGAACTTATTGACATACTTAACAAATACTCTGTGGAAGGCCTGTTATATGCTCATGATCGGATTGCTGAGCGTGAGCCTCTGCCAGTGGGGAATTTACCCGAGGAGGAAGTGCTGGATAGAGTCACAAATTACCCAGAAGAAAGTGTCAAAATTGTCCGCATTGACAAGACTAATGAGCCCTTGGTATGGAACTTTTCTTCAGTTTGAGCTGTTAATTTTTGAAAGTGTGCTGTCTTCTCTTCCTCCCCTTTTTTTTTTGGAAGGACATGGAAGATTTGTGAATATCTGATTTTCCATAGGAACTTTCAAATTGCTAATAAAACTCTTAACTATAAATCTCTTTATATATTTATAAGTTTGTACTGTACTGAGTATATATCCTTGCTTGTTCCCCAACTTATTTGGCAATTGTGTCTTTCTTACAATTTTTTTATGAATATGACTGGGAAATAGTTTGAATAGCCAAGAGAATGGTGGGGAAAGGAAGTTTCTATAATTTTTGTTTCTATGAAAGGAAGATAAGAGGAAAGAGAGAGAAAAAAGATTAGAACGACTTACATCAAGTAATTGTTGGCAATTGAAAGGAAAAAAAGAAGTGCATGCAATAAATACCGCAGAAGCAGGGTGTAGTCTACTAGTACAGTATGTAAGGTATAGGGGAGATGCTGGAGAGAGTGTAAGAAAATTATATACTTTCTAAACTTTCCCCTTTACCAGTACTGTATTGTACAGTAGTCACTTCTGAATATGTACTAATGGGATTATTTTTATCTCTTCTGACAGTTATATGATTTAAAAGTTCTCAACACAAATTTATGAAATACATGTACCCGTTATTAGGTTTTTACTTCATAGAATAACATCATTAGCTGAGGCATTTCAAGATAATTTTATTACCCTTTTTAATTTGCCTGCACAGTATCAGTTATTTTTTATTTGTATTGATAAATGTTCCCATTTCAGTGATTTATAACCTGATTCATTTTGTCCAAAAGCTCACAGTAATTTTTATTTCTTCTCCCAGTTCCCTTTAATATTACTAGTATTATACTGTAAAATATGAAGGTCAGGTTAATGCAGTATTGTTCACATCTTATTATAGGGCGCTACGATTAGAAATGAAGGCGATTCTGTGATCATTGGCCGCATCGTGAAGGGTGGTGCTGCCGAGAAGTCTGGTCTCCTCCATGAGGGTGATGAAATTTTGGAAGTTAATGGTGTAGAAGTGAGAGGCAAATCTGTCAATGACATTTGTGACATGCTTGCTGGTACGTAGTGGTCTGTCTTTGTTTAGTTGACAGGTCTTGTACCCTTATTACAGTTTTCTTGAGTCGGATATTTGTGTCATTGTTGGTGCATTTTTAACTTTGAGAACATTGATTTAGATATCCACAAGTATTCATATCGGTTTGTAGAGCTCCCGAGATATTATATTTTATTCACCTATTCAGGTACTGTTTTGCAATTTGGTAGCATCAGTGGTACTGTTGGAAATATAACATGACCCCACTTGAATTTATACTGGAGCCCTCAGAAAAGGTTAAAGCAGTCCCTGCTTATAATTAAATTTCTCCTTTCAGTACAAGTACTGTATTTCTATAATTTTCTAAACAAGGGTATTGTTATATATACTTTCACTTAATAAATTTAAATGTCTTATTCTTTGCAAAGATATTTTTTTATTAGATTTTTTTCATAACATGGGAATTACACTTGAATTTTTTTTTCATTGCTGCAGGAATGACAGGAACCTTAACCTTTATCATCATCCCAAGTGGACAGCCTCCTCCAGCAACTCGCCCACCAATTGCTCAGACAATACACGTCAAGGCGCACTTTGACTATGATCCTGAAGAGGATTTGTACATACCATGCAGGTAAATCATGATAGAGCCAAAAACATTAGCTTGTCCAATATATCTTCTACTGTACTGTATATCTAACTGTTGTATTTCTTCTTCCAGTTGATTAAGGAGAAAATGAAAGGAGTGTAGTGCTAGAAAAGTGTAAAGACCAACAGGAAAGGGATGAAACATTAAGTAGATATGATCAATGTAACCATGTTCTTGATTAATCTGGGTATCCTTAATTGCTTAGACTAAATACTGCATTTGAAAATTTGACCTTGTTGAATGTGTGCTATTACTTATTATGTCCTTGCCATAGGCTGGGGCATGTAGTGTTTGTCTTGTTCATCCACCCTTTTCCCTGCCCCATTCAGTACAGGTGTCCTACAATATATGAAGGGGTTGCATTCCTGGAAACCCATTAATTAAGTGAAAAACAAACAAACATATATCACACGTAGAGCCCACGTAATATTGAAAGAAAATATTGGGTATGGGGGTAGTTATTTTTTAAAACAAATTTTCTAATACTGTACAGTATTTTATGAGATCCAAAATTTCACACAGTTTGGGGGGAAATTTCTGCATGCTGTGATGTTAGTTGTAACAGTTGATTTTTCAGTTACAGGAAAGCCTCCCATAACGACGGTTCTACTAACAACGATTCCTATTTAAGACCCTGGTTAATTTATGACCCAATTCAATTTACACCATTATTTTCTTCGTATTTATGACGAAAATATTTAGAAAAAATAAAGTAAAATTACATTTCATATAAATAGTCAGTCAGTCCTCGACGGGGTTAGGGACCGACGACCAGGTCGTAAGTCGAAAATGCGAAAATAATACATATAAAATCTAAAATGGGTGTCTCTTTTTCTTCTCAGCACCACGAGAAGTCTCATTTTTATACTTGCCAGCCATTTTCAAGGGAATTACAAACAAAAATTTTGTCGGTACACAGCGCGATCACTTACGTAGGGACTCGAAAATACGTAATTTGAAAAATATTTTATACGACTGCGGCGGTCGTATGTCCGGATGGTCGTAAGTCGAGGATTACCTGTAATAACTAAATCCCGATATGTATTATACAAATTAAAAAAAACACGCTTTGTGCACAGAGGCTGCCGGGCTTGTGAGGGCGATGCCAGCATCGCTAGCATAAACAGTCGCAGCTTGGCGGGTCCTTTGTTTTCACGCATCTTAACAGGAAAAGGAGAAAAACTTTCTCGGTTTTCTTACGGCATTTTTTTTTGTCCCTATTCAACATGAGCAAGATATGATAGTACTGGTTCAAAAGCTAAAAGAAACTGTATAAGCTTAGCCGAGAAACTAGATGTGTTAAAACAATATGAAAAAGGTGAGAGGTCTGTGGATATTATATGGAGCAAACAATGAACATAATATTATTTCTGAAGTGGATCAATTAACAGAACGAAGCATTAAAATTAACAGGGACTTGAAAAAACACACATGACCTCTACATAAAGATGTATAATGGGAAAAGAAAGCGGCTGTGAGAGGTTATTTCGACAGCTTTATTATTCAAAGGCCTAAACCACCAACTTCAGCTACACCATCAAATTCAGCATCATAAGCAGCTTCAGCAACAACTTCAGGATAAGCAGCAGTAGATGAATCACCACTTATTGCCTCACCAGTGACTTTTAAGTTATGTAACCCATTATGATGTTTAAACCTAGCAAACCAACCTCGACTCACACTGAACTTTTCGGTTTTTACACTTTCACTCACTTGCATTTTAAAGATCATTAAACAATGTTAGGGCTTTTGTTTGAATAATAACTGTGCTCAGTGGAGTATGTTTCTGATTTTTGTCTTCAATCCATATACAGTACTGTACTTAAAAGTCTCTATTTCTTCCATAACCCCACTCCTGCTTTGGCAAACTTTATTTGCACTTAATGGAGTTGTAGACAGAGCACTTTCCTTAATTATTTCTCCATTCTTACGGATAGTTTTCACTGTTGATTCCAGACCTCTCACCTTTTTCATATCGTTTTAAAACATCTAGTTTCTCAGCTGAGCTTATATACCTTTTTTTTAGCTTTTGAACCAGCACTACCATCACTTGCTATCTTGCTCATGTTGAATTGGGGCACAAAAATGCCATAAGAAACCCGAGAAAGTTTTTCTCCCGTTCTGTTCGGATGCGTGAAAACAAAGGGACACCAAGCTCTCTGACTGCTGTTTATACTAGTGATGCGCATCACCACTCACTAGCCTGGCAGCCTCCATGCGTAAGGCATTTTTTTTATTTGTACAGTATTTTTTTTTTGTATACCCTGTAACACATATCGGGATTGTTATTATTTATATGAAAATGTAATTTTATTATATTTTTGTTGTAAATACGAATAAAATAATGGTGTAAATTGAATTGGGTCCTAAAGTAACCATGGTTTTAAATATGAATCGTCGTATGTAGAATCGTCGTTATATATATATTTATATTTCAAATTAAAACTTGTATTTTTAACACCCTATATTTTCTAGGGAGTTGGGTATGAGCTTCCAAAAAGGAGATATTCTTCATGTCATCTCTCAGTCTGACCCCAACTGGTGGCAGGCCTACCGGGATGGGGAGGAAGACCAAACCCTTGCAGGTCTTGTTCCTTCAAAGACCTTCCAGCAGCAGTGAGTATTAATTGGTTCATTACTCCATTTCAAATTGTTATTCAATACATACCAGTATTTTAATTATTATTAATCGTATTAAGTGTAATACCAAAGTAAGAGGAGGCATAAAATGCTATTTTCTGCTATTAGTTCTAGTGAGTATGAAGTAACTTATAATGGTGGATGATGCTGGGTTGTAGAAAGGAACAGGGTTGAAGTTTTTTGGGCAAGTATAAACTGTTCTGCATGTAGTGAATCACAAGCCCTTGATCATAAGAAAAATCTTTCAGTACATTAAGCCGGTGTTATTTCAATGGGTGGTGTTTGGTTGTATTAAGTGAGTCAAACAAGGTAGTGAGAGTGAATGAAGGAGCCTTTGTTGTTGAATTTAGCTACCTCCTTTTAGAAAAGAAAAAAGTTTGAAAGAAATGAGGGATGAACATGAGATACATATATGGGTACTGTATATGTATTTATATTAACCCTCATTATACTTGTGTACTTTAGTGTTGTCTTATTCAAAAAGTTTTTCTAACTATTTTTCATCTCTTATGTTTTATGTTCATGCAAAGATTGATTGAGTTTCCTGTTTGCAGCCGGGAGGCAATGAGACAAACAGTCGTAGGTGACAACAACAACAAGGAAAAGACCAAGAAGGGCAAGTTGTTATGTGCCAAAAAGCATCAGAAGAAAAAGAAGAAGAAAATGCTTTATCCAAACTATAATGAAGGTTAGTATGAAAGCTTAGATTTCTTTGAGTGGTGGCATGGGCCCTAACCATTATTTTAAGAATACAATATACTATAAATATAGAGGCTTCGATAGATACTGTATCTATTTTATAAAACTGAAAATAATTAACTCCTATTTAAGCATGAAACTTAGTTAATTTTTTAAAGTTTACATTACAGCCTGATGCATGGCATGGTATGTGAATGATGTTTAGAAATATGATCTCTAGATGTATTGACCTGGTTGCATGGTTGATGCATGAAACTATTGTAAATTCTTTTTTTTATTATGGAGGGTACAATATTAAGAAACTTTCTTGGCTGGACACTAGGCACTTTTTTCACTGGAGCATATTTCCATGGTTTGTTCATTTTATTTAGTGCTGTAGATATTATTTTGACTATAAATGATTGAAGTCACACCTTAGAGAAACATTGAAATATTACAATATAAATTTACATTTACAGCTTTGTTATAGACTAATACAGAGTACATGTACGGTAATTGGCTTTAGTTTGTTGTGCTTGTCATAACAAATTTTTATTGTCAGTTACAAAGCATTTTGATTTTTGAGGAAGGTTTAAATATAATTTGAACAATAATACAGTAAGAAACGAAAATATTTTGTACAGGCACTGACATTTCTAATCTTTCATCAGCTTGGTATTTGATCTGTGATAAAATCACCACTGAACACAATTATTGTAAATGATAATGTTAGTGTGAATATATATGGAATGAAGTAGAACAGGAAGTTGTTCATGAGTAGGTCAGTCAGCCACTGTTACCCGTGGATATAAGTACTGAAGGAGATGGAAAGGGTATGTCTTTTTTCTTACTTATAATTCTTTTGCTTTAGCTACACTCACATTGCAAATGACTTGTGGTCTTACATGTATTCCCATTCCACAGTCTTTAATATTATTATACGGTATGTCAATTCTCAGACTTCATTTCCCACTTTATTTCTGCCTTTCCTCTTTTCATGCTTTTATTTACAGTGTTTGTAAACTTTTAAATACTTATAAAGGTAACTATCATTTTTGTCACTATCTTTTAGTGCAACCAGATGGTATCAGTTGCACTTGCACATTGCCCAAACCAGTACCGGGTATGTAGAATTCTTCAGCAAATGTTTCATGCAGTGTATCAGAAATGGGAACAGACACCTAAACTAAAATGTGTGACTTTAAAGTAGAGATGGTGAACACCCCAATTATTTGGAATAGTTTCTAAATCCTCTACCATAAGTGTTGAGTTTCAGAAGTGACATATAAGATATGAATATACAGAACTGTATATATTTATTTATTTTTATATGAACAAGAGTTAGAAATATGCTTCAGGAGAAGGTGTAGGAGAGGATTTCTTAACAGCTTCATTAAGTGTTAAAATAATTACACAAAGACTATGACTTCTAACTTATTATGTATGGTGTCACTATTTTCAGGACAACGTGCTTCATGCAAATGATTTTATTCATTGTTTATGAGATGTCACATCAATATCTGCCCAGAGAAGAGTTTTGTACCCATTCATTTTCTCTGCTTTCATAACCAAAATTTAAACTTTGCTTTCTCTAGCATGCAAGGAACCCATTTCCCAAGTATGTTTTGTCTGTATTCTCCTCCACAATATAACCTATATTGTCTGCCTCTCATATGTGGCTCAGCACGGAGCAACTCTCCACTTCCTATGCCAGGAAGAGGAGGCCCAGGTGCTGACATCATAAATGAAACAGAGAACTCAGGAGCTCAAGCAAGAAGTAGAGTGTTGACACTGAGATTTGCCCTCCCAGCTTGTCGTTGTGTTAAAGGAAGCACACGAAGGAGACGGTGCAGCTCATTGTCTGACCTCGATGTTGGTACGGACAGGGTAGTGTTAGTGGATGTTTTGGAGGCTTTTGTATATTGTCTTGTGTTACCTGAATGCTTCAATAATGGATGGCTCAAGTATTCAGAATCTTACTGTGGGTTTTTTTTAAGTATCTTTTAAGATATAGAAAAAATCCATCCTATTGTAAAGATTCTGGGTATTGAATTATTACTGTATTAGTAGTTTAGGTCTGGGTGCATGCTGAAGTTTCAATGATTTTAACACTGGTTTGGCAGAAACTTCATCACCATTGGGTGTGTTTTGGCTGATGTTAATAGTATTACTATTGACATTTTTTTTTGTCTTCACTTTTGTTTGTCCCTGTTTTATTGTGTGTGTAAATTTGGTTATCTTTATATCCTGCTAGAAGTACATGTTGTACGATGCGGTGACTGGAGAGTTGTAAAAAACAAAATTGTTCATTAAGAAGGGCAGTTCACAAGATGAGAAATACTGTAGTAAAAAGCACTACTATGTGGATGAACCTCTTGTAATGTAATGTTTATTCCTGGTTGAAGTAAAATGCCATGTAGTGCTTTATTTTGGTTTTATGTTGGAAGATGTTGTGTGATTCATCCTCTAGGTACAGACTCAAAACCAAAAGACGAGTTATTATATGTGAAGATTGAGTCTCGGGCATGTAAAGTCATCTTAAAATGGTTCATTCAGAATTAGATGATGAGTAACACATTATTTTAATCCACTGATCTTTCAATAGCCACTAAATATTATTTCGCAATTATAGGATAGGATCACTGCTTCAAGGGTTATTGTGGTTAAGTAATTGAAAAATAACTTTTTCTCAATGCTTAGTTACATTAAGTGGTGTAGTAAAGAGCATTTGCATTTATAAAAAAATTGGCCTTCAATAAACAGTATTATTTGCATTTTGAAAAAGTTTGGCTTTATAGTTTAAATTATTATTTGCAATTTTGAACATTATTGCCTGATGATGACGTTTGAGAAATTTGGACGAGTGTGAAATTATCAGTTAATTATCTGAAAATATAATTAACAAAGATCTTTAATTTAAAAAGAAAAATTATTAATTTCAACATAATTTTCCTGATAAGTCTAGTTTAGTACCAGTATCACGTCATTTTATATCTTGGGTATTGCACTGATTAATTGTGATGGAAATTTTGTAGAAAGTTCTCATAGTGAATTCTGTATTTGATGGACTATGTTATATTATGATATAAGTCAAGTAATAATAAGTAAAATTATTTTTTACAGATTTTGATTCGGAAGAAATTCTTACATATGAAGATGTGGCATTATATTACCCAAGAGCAAACACAAAACGACCAATTGTCCTCATTGGTCCTCCAAACATCGGACGACACGAACTCAGGCAAAAACTCATGGAAGACAGGGATAGATTTGCAGCTGCCATTCCACGTGAGTATATGAACTTATTTCATGAATTTCTTTGTATAAATTTGATATCTAGAGGAGAGAAAACTACAATTTATTATGACAAATTGAAAGTTACTGCATTGCTTTCAATAGCAGTCATTACATATTGTTCTTCCCTTTATAGGTAACAGTTTTAATGGGGAGGAATAATCTAATCATCAGATTAGTTGTGACTGTATCTGGTTAGTTGCCAGACACCTAGGCCAAGGTATCATAGTTTCAACTTGAAGCCTTGATATGTTCATTATATGAACAGCTTAGTTATAGGCCCTTCTTGAAATGGAATTTCAAAATAAGTCGTCCATCTTTAACCTTTATGGGTTCTTTCAGTTGAGTCTTGGCAACACTAAGCCTTTCATCCTTTTACTTTTTAATACTCTTGCTTGCTTTATTTTAATTTCACCGTATACTGTACTTGAGAGAATAAAATGCCTGAAACTTCCCATCAACAAATTTTAATACTATTTTTAGGTATTACTACTTGTAGATTTTCATATTAGGGCAATGTATTAATGTTTATTATTGTTCCTTGTAGATTTCTTGATATTACTCACAATCTGCTTATCCTTTTGCAGACACATCTCGCACACGAAGAGAAACGGAGTTGGATGGTCAGGACTATCATTTTATTTCACGGACACAATTTGAATCCGACATACTAGCACGCAAATTTGTTGAACATGGGGAGTATGAAAAAGCCTATTATGGGACCAGCTTAATGGCCATCAGAGCTGTCGTGAATTCTGGCAAAATCTGTGTTCTCAACCTTCACCCTCTGTCCCTCAAGATTCTCAAAAGTTCTGATCTCAAACCATTTGTTGTATTTGTTGCTCCCCCATCACTGGAGAAGCTTAGGCAGAAGAAACAGAGATTAGGAGAACCAGTAAAGGTTAGTTACCTGTACTGTTCAGATAAATGAATTATTTTTTTATTTTAAATTGATTATCAACTAGGTGAAGTTATGAGAAAACACACAGTTGCCTAATGATCCTACCTATTGTTCCAGGATGAGGAGTTGAAAGAAACTATAGAGAAGGCCCGGGAGATGGAAGAACAGTATGGTCATTATTTTGACCTGATCATCATCAATCAAGACGTAGATCGTGCCTACCACCAACTGCTTCATGAGATCAACATGTTGGAACGAGAGCCTCAGTGGGTCCCTGCAGCCTGGCTCGCACATGATCAGTGATGGGTATGTATACAGTATATACAACCACTCCCCGACTTACGACGGGGTTAGGGACCCAAATGTGTTGCTAGGTACAGTAGTTGGTGGAGGTAGCATCCCTCCTGGTCTGCATTGCTATGGTGTACCATGGATTGTATGCAAATGGCAGTTGTGTTAAAATTTAATTTGGCTTTTATTTACTGGTTTGCCAATACCGTATTTTTTGTTGTAACTTATTTATTGGTATTATTTTTATCTATTCCTCACATTTTCTGGTACTGTATATATTATTTTAAGAAAACTATGGCTACAGTAGGAAAATACACAAGTATTCCTAAATACTTCTTGCTGAAATGAGGGGCGTGTCTTATATGGTTGTGCGCCTTATATTCCGTAAAATACATTACATAACCCTTTATTTTCAAAATTTTCCAGTTTAGAAAACTTTCTATTGTCTTAATGCAAAACAAAATAATTTTATTTACCAAAAACTGTTTTTTTTTAGGTACTGTAGTGTTCCTATGGTGCCAAAATGATACCCCTGCGCTTCCCCCTGGCCAAAGGCAGAAGACTCCTGGCTACTGTCCTCAAGGCAATTCCTATAATGGAAGTCTCAAAATGAAGGGCAACCAGGTCTATACAATCAGTAATGTGACAGTGTTTGTGTAAGAATTATTGGATGGACATATGGTGAAGGAAAGTGTACAGACAAACAATGTTGAAAACTTAAAAGGTTGTGTTCGAAAATGGCTTTGTGTTCATTCATGATCACGTGTGAAAATCCACTTCAAGAAGAATTAAAAGAAATAAGAAATTGAAGTAATTGGTTAACGTAGTGACATTGACATAGGAAATTGACGTATACTTTAAACCTTCCCCATTCTGTGCAAATTTAGGTAATGACAACTAGACCAAAGCTTCATTTGCAAAAGGTGGGAAGTTTAAGCTCATTGCAACTTTGAAACAAGCCATCAACTGAAAATTTAAGACTTAACAAAATGGAACTCTGGAAGTAAAGTATTAAGCAGTCCACCTTTTGTTGAGGTGGCTCAAGTGTGTGTGATACTAGAAGAACTCTAGAAACACGTTATTTACCCTTGTAAAGAAGACTCCCTTACCCTCGTCTAGTTTTAAATGTCTTTTGTTATCTACATTTTCTATTACATTTAGTTGATGTACATAAAATTCTTTACATTTTTTGAACATTTATATATCCATTATATCCATATCAAGATTTCAAAACATTTTTAATAAATGTCCCTCTTTCAACAGTTTTAAATATAGATAAAAAATATAGATGCATTTCAATCCATTTTTAACAAAAATGTGTTAATGTCATTCAGATAACTCAAATTCATCATAAATGTATTTTATCGTTGAAGTATTATATCAGTCCCATGATAGCTGGAAACATTGCTCATTTAATATAAAGATTTTTTTATTGGTGGTGTGCAATAAGCAAAAATTTGATGTTTAATGAAATTTGAAAACATAATGTAATTCACATCTTTCCAGTGATTCCCCCCCCTCCCCCCCTGTAAGTGTCTGTAATGTACATAGAGGTGCCATATTACATCAAAGTTGACCCATTTTACATCAAAGCTGTGACTCCAGTTATTTACAGTGTTAAGCAGCAATAATACCTACATACAGTACATCTAAAACATGTGTTGTAAAGTCTTCAGTACTTTTACTTTCTTAAGGCTCTAGGAATTAGCTCTGCCAATTTGTAACAGATGATTAATCCGAGTGTCTTATTCAGAATGAATATTGTGCATCATATATTCATGCCTGAGAAAGCCTGCAAAGTGAAGTCTCATGTTGACAACAAAAGCACAAGTTTATGAGAAGTCAAGTTTGTGATGTTGACATTTTACTCAGATGATACTGAAAATATATACATATAAAATTGTAACCAGTATTTCAATGGTGTTCCCTCCTCCTCCCAATTTATGTAACTCCTGTATATACTGTTACAATCTTCCTATGTTTAATTTGTTGTAAGTAGAAACATATATGCCTCATTATAATACACCATTAAATAATTACGATTCCTAAAATAAATGTGTATACTAGTAATATGAACATAATTTATTATTCATCCTCATCTAACTTGGTGGGTGAGATGTGGATTATTATTTTTTCCCAGGTGGAGATGTCTGTCCAACATGTAAGGACTGACAGTTACCTGGGCCTTTAGACAAGGTTAGGTTAGGGTAGGGTAGGGTAGGTCAAGTTCAGTCAGGTTTGGTTAGGTTACGTTCAGTTCAGTTCCAAGTCGGAGAGAGATTGACGGAGTGCGGGAGGGACTGAGGGTGGGAGGGAGGGAAGGATAGGTGGAGCAACTGGAGGCAGCCCCTCCAGACAACGATCCTCTCCTAGCCAGCAAGGGGTGATTTAGCTACTTCAGGAAATACCAGTGTCTCCACAACATCAAGCTGAAGGGAGAAGCTGTGTGTGCAGATGATGCTGCTGCATCCACTTTCCCTGCCGAGTTGATGGCAGCAGTAACAGGTGGAGGTTACACGCCACAGCAAGTGTTTAACACGAACAAAACAGGTTTGATTTGGAAGCAGATGACCAGCCGAACATTTATCTCCGAGGAGAAAAGTGCTCCAAGTTTTAAAGCAGCTAAGGCTCGATTAATCCTTCTGTGTGGCAGTGCCAAAGTTGACTTCAAGCTGAAGCCCATGCTGGTGTCCCACTCCCAGAATCCGTGTGTCTTCAAGGGATCCAGCACTTCAACCCTGCCAGTGTACTGGAAGGTCAACAAGGTGGTGTAGATGACTTCATCGATATTTGATGAGTGGTTCATGAAGTGTTTCTGCATGGAGGTTGAGAGGCACTGCCAATGCTCCAACCTGGATTTCAAGGTTCTGCTGCTCCTGGACAATGCCCCTAGTCACCCTGCCCACCTTAACAAAATGCAGCCCAAAGGGAAAGTGATGTTCTTTTCACCAAACATGACCGCTTTGATCCACCCTATGGATCGGGGTTATAGCCACTTTCAAAATGTACTACCTCACTCAGTTGCTGGATGCTAGTGATGGACCCAACAAACCATTCATTCAAGAGTTTTGGATTGGCTACAACATCCTCCATGCTGTCAGCAACATCAGGAGTTCCTGGACAAGGTGAAGGCCACGACAATGAATACAGTGTGGAAAGACTGTGTTCACTCCTTCATCGGCTTTGACAACCCCTCAGAAGTGGCTGAGATTATCGGGCTTGCCTGAACTGTGGAGGGTGATAGGTTCTAGGACATGGAGGAGGAGGATGTCCCAGACCTGCTGTGAAGTCTGAGCTGACCACCAAGAGGCTGGCTCACTTCTTCAGCATCACAGACCAGTTAGCTGAGGATGCTGTGGACATAGATCCCAATGTGGAGCGTAGTTTGATGTCTGGGGAACGGCCAAGTCAACCGCTTTCAACGTACAGAGCCAAATACAAAGAGAAGCAGTTGAAGGCAAAGCAGTCGACCATGACCCAGTTTTCCAATTTCACCCGCAAAACAAATGTCTACTACAAGCCAGAATCCAGTCACTTCAACCAACCCTGCCAGCCCAGTCCTGTCATCTCCAGTCAGTGTTCCTCTACCACTAATTCCTAGTTCCAGTGATGAGAGTGAAGACGATCCACCTAGGATTTCTCCACACGGCTGTTTAGATGCAACCAACATCCTATACCATTATCATTCTTCATAACCTTCATACGTGAGTACAGTATATTTATTATTCTTGGAAATTCCCGGAGTTCAGGGGCATGAAAGGGAATGTGATATACCTTAAGACTTAAATAAGACATGGCGGGGTTTTTGATTGTTCATTACAAATATAAGGGTATACATATAAAATATAGGCTTTTTACTATCCTTTTTCACAGATGCAGTGAAAACCCCTGAAAAGTTATATAGGTAGGCACTTTCAAACTAAATTCTCACCCCAAAAAAGTAACATTGACTTAAAAATTTATCCCCCCCCCAAAAAGTTACATTACGATTTTGCTGTAACTTCAGTTCCTTAGGGCCTGATGATGGGGCAACACCATGGTGATGGCTGGAACCCCTCACTGCAAGAACAGATACCAGTCTGCGAAAGAGAAATGAGGGGGACTTTTTAGACTTTTTTATCATTTTGTATGTCTTCTGCTAGAGCCAATTCTTATTCATGTAAAAGTTATTGACTGTTGAGATCATTCACATATTCCCAGATACATTTCAAGTGATCTAGGCACGAAAATTAAATGTATTTGTCTTTTATTCAATACACTCCATGCAGAGGGCCTGGAATGTTCACAGCATGTAAGGCGGCAGAACCTCGCACAAGTCTCTGGTCTTTCTGTCCTTGGAGCGTGGGCAATGTGTACATCTAACCATCCTTGGGGCTTCTTTGGAGACCATGGGTGTGATGCAGATGTTGGTAAAGTTGCTGTCATGTTCTTGTGCCCTCGTTTGGAAGGTTCTTTGGTCCACTTTACCCCATCTTGAGCTGCTACCACGTTCCCAGCACCTGGCAAATAATATCTTGGATTATTGTTTGGTGCAGCAGTAGAAACTTGCAGTGTTGCATCAGAGGTTCCTCCCTGATTCATAGCAGGGCGGCGGGCTTGGCTGTTGGTGGGTGTTGGTGGTAGAATTGGTGGTGTTGGTGGCAAACTGCAAAAATCGAAAATTAGCTATAAAATTTATAAAAAATGAGCGAGATTTAACGGGAGTTGGGTATGGCTATTTTTCAACTCGTAATTTCAAGTAGAAAAAGTTAACTTTCTTCATATTATTTTATTCAGTTTCATGCAAACACAATCCTGTATACAGAATGTGCAAAAAAAATAAATAAAAAATCACTCGGTCAAAAACATAAAATTATTAAACATTGCTTCGTGTGCCAGCAGGAGGGGAGTGTTGCGAAGGGAAGTCCCCAGCTCGGCTGTGTTACTTCGGTGAAGCATGAGGGAGGCAACCCATGACTCTGTAATAAAGCTTTTATTTAACTTTATATTTCTTCTTAGTTCTTATTACTCGATTTTCTTTTTCTCTATATATTCGTAAGATGGAGGAGGTGAGGGTGGAGTGAGAGGAGGGAGAAGGAGCGAGAGATGCTAACGGCTGGTTTAATAATAATAATAAACGTTTTTTTGAAAGAGCATGGCAGCTGGAAGGCTGAAAGTATACAGTTACATAATTGGGAGGTGGGTCTCTTGATTGACAAAAAATATATAATTAACATAAGTAATAAAGATGTGATATATAATAACTAGGTGGGGAGAAGGTCATACTACGGGGCATTTCAACCTAGTGACGGTTCAAAAAGGTAATACTGACAGAGTGAATACACTAGTTAATTACAAGTTATTGATAATTTTTACAGTGGTTGGGACTGGTCTGCTGTTATAGCGATCAGTACGTGCTCGTATGGGCTGGATGCGATTGTGGTGTCGAACAGCAATTCACGGATGAGAGATCTCGGGTGGTAGAAGGAGCCGGTGTCGAGGATGTTGCAGAATCTTCTCACCAAATTTGCAGATGAGGTCGTGGTGATGGTCAAAGAGAGCCGAGAGGGTCAGTGTGTAATGATTGATTATTAGACCAAATCTTACAGCCCAGAATTACATCACATATAACAGCAAGTACACTACAGACCTCGTGGTACCACCACATACCAGGTTGACACACCCCAAGACCCTAGGGATTTGACCTCGCCGGCTAATTACTTGAAATAGCTGGTGACCTGACCACACCTAAAGCCTCGTCCACACGATCGAGCAGTACCCGGCGGGCTTTGCCCGTTTACTGGGCAAAGCCTGTGTGTTGTTGTACACACGGGTGGTTGGCGGCAGTCATAGTCGGTCGCCAGTAGCTAGTAGGTGGTCAGCAGTGGCGGGTGCGGTACGATCACCCTGGTGTGTCGCAGGAATAATCACCAGACAGTTAAAGTGAAGAGCATAGCTTTGTGTACTGTAATTATTGCTGCTATGTGCAAAAAGAAGAACCAAATGCAGAAAAGGGAATGGTGCAAAGAAAAGTATTGGGAAGTCATGCCACGATTTTACGTGAACTGCAAGATGGACATGAGCAAGACTTCACCAATTACATGAGAATGGACCCCAACACCTTTTACAAACTTCTAGCGAAAGTGGAACCATATATAAAAAAACAATACCAATATGAGGGAGAGTATATCTGCAGAGGCTCGTCTAAAGGCAACAATCATATATCTTTCAACTGAGTGCACCTACACGTCACTACAGTATAGAACGAGGATATCAAAACGAAGTTTGTCTCGCATAATACCTGCAACTTGTGAAGCCATGTATGAAGTACTCGAGGAAGATTACTTGCAGGTGAGATTTGTAGTACACAAAAATTCATTGAATAATGTTAGAATTATGATATACATAGACAGGAAAGGAAGCTAAGGGACAAGAGTGAGGAGAGCTGCAGGAACTAAGAACACACACGAATGTCCTCATTACATAATACACAAACAATCTCCAGTTTATTGTCACGCCAATACTGTAATGTACATTGCATAAGCTTATTTGGTTATACACTGGACATCTGGACTAAGCGGGGAACATATAACTATCACATTTGCAGGACTTAAACTCAGGTTTTACAAAGTGCTAGCATACGTTCTGTCAGTATCTGTTCATACCTCACCGACTTGAGGACCCCGAGGTCAGCGGTGGCGTAGTGATCATCTGTTTTTGACAGTCATGCGAGGTTCCAATAATAAAGTCGTCGCTCCATATCCGGCAGCAAACCACCAGGCAGGTGGGCCATGATTTCGCTCAACGACGGACACGAGCACTCCGCTGGTTTGCCCACCAATTTTTGCCCGATAACAGGTATTTAGCGCGTGCCCGCCTGGCACTGCTCGATCGTGTGGACGGGCCTTAAGACACACCTGGGCATGACCACACCTGAACATGCTGTCCAGATCTAAACAGTTTAGTGATAATTGGTTAGAGGTCAAAGCCGGCTGGGCCGACTCTCTATAAAGGCCCTACAGTCCCGTCCACGCTGATTCTCATTCCATTCGTGATTCTCATATGACTATCATTCGGAGAGGTTCGTCATT